TTTAAGGTAATTTTAGTAATTACTAGTTTTATTTTTTGTTCTTTCGCTCTCTTTCTTTTAAATCAACGCCCACGTCACTGCACAAAGCAGATAAACGTGAAGAATTTCTTTCGAAACATTAACATAATTGCTAAGAAATACTCAAATTGTTGCAAGAAAAAGCAATAAAGCAGACGGTTTAATCCCGGCCAGGCCGTGTGTTTTAACTAGTGATTGATTAGTGAGGGACTTACAACTATATACGTTATGTTTTTTGTTTTATTATTTCAATTAGGTTTCTCGAATAATTTCGGCCATGGTGGCCATCAACAGGAGAAAAAGTCCCTGCTTGTTAGTAGCAGTGAACTACAGGAGTGAATGACTGTTTGTGAAGAAAGTGAACTTTATCTGTAGTTTTCATTTGTTTTTTTTTTTTATCTTTAATTTTGGTCAGTCCTTGTATTCGTCAAACGGCCTCTATCAAATTGTTTTTAACATAGAGGAAGGGAGATTCCTGATTTTAAGAATTTCCTTCTTGGTCATTTGACACTTTTATTTGTTGCTGGGAAATGGATATGTATGTTAAGTGTATGTTTCTTTTAGTTCTTTGGGAGTGTGTGTGTGTGTATATATATATGTGTGTATATATATATATATATATATATATATATATATATATATATATATATATATTAGTATGAGTGTGTGTATAAGCGTGAGACCTCCACAACTCTGCAAGTATGTCTATCTTGTGTGGGTGAGAAATGTGGGTAGGGCTTGATTTATGCGATTATATATTAATTCTATCTATGTTGTTAAATTTATGGCTAAGCCCGTCTGGACGAAGTGTTTTGAGGTGCAAAATCCAATTGTCTTCAAGTTCCTATAATATTTTTCTAAGGTTATCTTTTCTGTTTATTTTTATTTTTCCATGGCTTTAAAATCATGTTTTTCTAAGCGGAAATGTTGTTCTACAGGTGCGGAGCCGACTTGATCCGATTCCAATAATGATTAATTCTGTAGTGAAAGGGCTATTCAGATTTTCCTACATATTGTTTCTGGCATAGTATGCATTCTAATAGGTAAATTATGTTATGACTTCTACAGTTAGACTTGTGGTAGATTTTGAAAGTAGATTTGATGACTCAGTGAACGCATTTGTATGCGTAATGTGGTTACAACATAGGCTCATTTTGTTGTTAAATGATTGGGAAAATTCTGTTGTTTTTATTTTTGGTCTATTACGGGTTACCTTAAATATGTGCTAGAAAGCCGGGTTCCCCAAACAAAGTTTTTAGGTCTGGTTTGAGATGTAGTAGCGAATTTTGATTATCTGAGATAGTGAACGAAGAGTTGTGTTGGAAGTGGTTACTAGAGGAATGCGTTTGGATTTATTTTTAATTTTATACATTAGGGTGTCTTCTCTCTCTCTCTCTCTCAATCTCTCTCTCTCTCTCTCTCTCTCTCTCTATATATATATATATATATATATATATATATATTACTTAAACGTTATAATCTATTTTTTATTGGATACTCTTATTTGAGTAGACGCAGCGTTTATTTATAAAAAAAAGTATTTACTTTTATCTGCTGGTCTGAATATTCGAGTAATATTATTTGAAAAATATAGACATTCCGGTAGGATTCGAACCTACGTTCCCCTAGGGTGAACCGCCAGAGACCTTATGAGATTTGACCGATAGTCTACAGAACGCATCGATGACTAAGCGCTCTCTGAATAGTGCATTGAAATACAGATTTCTTTCCGATTGTCGAATTAAACATATCTGCCAAGTTTCGTAAACTAACGTAAACAAAGCAATCTCTAAAGAAAGGAATGGATTTTTTTTATTTGTTAATCCAACAGATTTTTATTACTTAAACGTCATTTAAAAATGTAGTGAATATTCGTATTTAAATAGACGCTCTATTTATTTCAGGCCGGTAGACGAAAAAAAAAAAAATACTGTTTACTAAATAAACAGAACGTCTACTCAGATACGAGTATCCACTAAAAATAAAATATAGGGAGAGTGGGAAAGATGGAGAGAGGAAAAGAGAGAAAGAGAGAGGGACAGACAGACAGAAAGAGTTAAAGAGAGAACGATTTACCTCTCATTCTTATCAACGCGACCCACTCTCCTAAATCTGACTAAATGATGAAAATTCAGATATTGGCCGAGGATCCCATTGACCAAACATATGAGCAACGACAAGGTTTTAAAGAAATTAGAAACAAAAAGGAAACTTATAAATAATATCAAGAAGAGACAGTTGAACTTTCTGGGCTACATAATGAGGAAAGAGGGCTCGGAAAATCTGATACTCACGAGACAGATTGAGAGCAAGATGGACAGAGGAAAATAGCGCATTCTTGATGAGCTGAAATAAATCGATGGCGAAATAGATTTTAAGAAAAATAAAGAATATTTTAAGAGCTACAAATGGCAGGAAATAGTGAAGAGCCATGATCGTCTACGTCCTGAAGGAACATGCCACATAAAGAATAAGGAGAATCCCTTCTTGATTGGTCCGAGAATTTTTCATCACCCACAGATAAATACGTCAATACCTGGAATAAATTATTCTTACATAGGCTGTGTATGTTGTGCGCATGCGTGATGAATTACAGAGAATATTCTCATTTACAGCCAACTGTATTAGAATTATAAGAAAGTGGGAAGATGGCTGTCGTGCGACAAGGATAAACTTAAGCAAGAGCTAAATTCTATTAACATCTCTCCGTCGTTCTTTGAGGAAATGGCTCCTGATCGTATCAAGTGGAGGAATTTTTGAGGGGTTACGCAAATTTTGGGTGGATCTCAGGCCGGCTTTAAATGTCATCGAAGGCACAAATACAAGTATGCATCAAGAGCCTAACATGATGTCGAACCGTCATACGTCGTCGAAAACGTTGGGAGAGTCTACCTTATCTATGGGTTAAATAGTAGTGTAGTTTCAGCTTTGATTGGCAACCAGTCTAGGAGAAGACCAAACCTAAATTCAAGACGTGAGGAGGGTCGTTTGGCGACATTTTGTCACACTATGTGCACTAGTTCTCTGTATTTGGTTCATCAACATTATAATTAAGTGATATATGAGGGCAGTTGGACTGTTCAGTTCTAAGAACTGAACTGTTGGCTCCTCATACGTCGAAGACGACAGGAGAGGCCATTATATACATATATGCTTCACTTTTATTAAATCTTTAATAAAAATGAAACACTTTAGACTGATAAATAAACGATTCCTATTTTTCTTTATCTTATCATATATATATATATATATATATATATATATATATATATATATATATATATGGCGTCTCCGGGGATCGAGCTTGTCGGACCTAGTCAACATTCAAGTATTATTTCAAAGCCAACAAAAATCTTTCGTCGTGCGTCGTTTTCATTCTTGGCTTCAGCTGGATCCAAAATTGTTTTAACTGCGCGCCTCAAAATATTGACCGAAATACTTTCTTTGATGTTGTTCATAATAAAGAAGAAAGAAAAAATAAAGAAAAAAATAAATAAAAAAAGAATGAAATAAAATTGGCTAGGCGGACGGCGTAGATCTGAGCTCTGTCAGTCTGGAGACATACTTAACAGGCAATGTATTTTTTGCTCTAATTTTATAAATAATCATTTAAAAACTTCTAGTGACTTGTTTGCCCTATTTTTCAAAGGACACTTTTTTTTTTTTCAACTTATTGTTTTCAAATGTCCATTATAAATAATTTATTCCGTACGGTATAAGTTTTTAGCAGAATGTATCAATCGAAAAAAGGCAAATTAAATTTAGCCTGACTTAAAGTCGGAGAAAAACAAAAAACGTAAGAAGACTGGAGGGCTGAGGGTGAGGAATGTGACTGGGGTAGTGTTGAGGAAATATGATATCAGTTAACTATTCCTATCTCTACAATCAAGTTATAAAATGATAAAAATGGAACGGGGACATTAAACAGAAAAATATATCAAACACATTTCCCTCACCCTTTTTCTTACATGTCTGGAAATGTTTTTAAAGATAAATGTTTATACATTTTAGTTACAGTAAAGAAATCATTTTAACGTCTAAATTATACTAAAATTATATTATGTTAAAGATTTTAATGACCCCGGCAAATATTAATGACCTAGAGTCACCACTGAGATATGTGTGTGTGTGTGTGTGTGTGTATGTGTATGTGTGTGCGCTCGCATGTATGTATACGGACATTCATGAAAGTTCTAAAATTGATAAGCTTCAATAAACCAATGATATCCTCGCCTATGTATATAAACGCGTGCAGCAAATTAAATACTTGATAAAGTCTCTCAGAGGATGAAATGCGTCGACTAAGAATAATTTTCCATTTATCTCTTTTTATTCACACACACACACACACACACACACACACACACACACACACACACACACACACACACGCACACACATATCTATATATAATAAACTATAGTTTTAAGGAATCTTATATTTATAGGTAAAAATGATCAGTATCGGAGATAAAGCGTATGTAAATATAAAAGTGATACTGAAGTCAATACCAAGTGTCGACAGTCTGTTTCATGCATCAACGCAATCTTCAGGCTATGAAGATTGAATGAAATAGACGGTAGCTGATTGGTGTTGACCTTGTATACATGCAACGTGTGTGCATATAGTTATAATTGTGTATGCATATATATAGTCGTATTCATCAAATGTATGTTAAAATATCTGAATACGAATGTTTTAATGCGCTTCTTTCGTGCACCCAATCGTATAAATAAAAAAAATAGTGTATCTGCGCGCATGTGTGTGTCTTTATATGTGATATGTGTGCATGTGTTTATGTCTGTGCGTGTCGTGCCAGCTCCCAGTCACACGCATTTGGTCGAGTCGGCGCATATATGTGTGTGTGTGTGTGTGTGTGTGCTAGGAAGTTCGGCAGACAATTCGTCACTAGGTGGCGCTCTGTGTACCAAATGTACGGTGAGGGCCATCGACCGCAACATCTTAGCGAAATGGAAACAAAATTACCTCGGAATTAAGCTATTAGCCACGACGTTGTCGTTACTTTCCTCCATTCCCCCGGTTCTTGGCGAACAGGCCGACAATGACAGGGAGTGAAGAAGAAGAAGAAGAAGAAGAAGAAGAACAACAACAACAACAACAACAACAACAAAAGAGGAAGATGGCAACGAGGTTGAAGTAAAAGACGAGAAGCCGACAAACTTAGGAAAAGGTGATGTCAGGAGTGAAAAATTGACGAGAGAGAGAGAGAGAGAGAGAGAGGGAAGGGAGAGAAAGAAAGCGAGAAAAGCATCGAGAGAGAAAGAGTGAAAGAGAAAATTGGGAAGAAAATGGACAAAAAATACATTGTTGATTTGTGAAAAAAAAAGGCAAAATCTATATTGTATTGTTAGACAAATTGAGAAATGGTATATATATATATATATATATATATATATATATATATATATATATATAGAGAGAGAGAGAGAGAGAGAGGGGAGAAAGAAAGAGCGGTATGGTATTTCTGAAAAGAGAAATCTTGTATCTATCTATCTATCTATCTATATATATATATATATATATATATATATATAATGGCCGTCGACTCGATAATCGATAATCGCTTATATATATATATATATATATATATATATATATATAGTTATTTTCTAAATGTAGCTTAGATGTGGCACAAGGCCGAGACTATGAGTCACCTAGTCACGATCGAACTCATTTTTCAGTCGTAAATCATCTAGCGGACAAGCATGTTAATCATTACACCACGCCGAGGTGCCAAATATATATATATATATATGTGTGTGTGTGTGTGTGTGTGTGTGTGTGTGTGTGTGTGTGTGTGTGTGTGTGTGTGTGGAGGGGGTGTATCCGTGTATGTGTCTGTGGATGTATGCTACAAATAAACACGCATTAACAGACATACACACACAAACACGCACACGCACACGCACATTTACGCGCGCGCACACACACACACACACATATATACATATACATGATAAGATAGTTTTAAGGTATGTTATATTTATGGCTAAAAGTGTTCAGTACTAAGGATAGAGCGTGTGTAAATATGAAATATGGACTCTGAGGTCAATAGCAGGTGGCGACAGTCTCTTTCGTGCTTGAACGCAATCTTCAGGCCTGTCCTGAGTATTCACTTTACACACACACACACACACACACACACACATACGCATATATATATATATATATATATATATATATATATATATATATATATATATATATATATGCGGGTGTTGTTGTGTTCTCCAACTTTCTAAATCTGATCATATGACTAAACATAAGATTTAGGATGGTACAACGTTTGGCCTGTACACACACACACACACACACACACACACACACACACACACACACACACACACACACACACACACACACACACACGTATATATATATGAGTAAAGCATGTAAAAAATACACACACACACATATATATATATATGAGTAAAGCATGTAAAAAAAGTATATATATATGAGTAAAGCATGTAAAAAAAAGCGCGCAGACACACACACACATATATATATATTGTTAAGAGAAAGAAAGTAATAGAGAGAATGTCGCATAGACGCGGATATCAGCTCGAGAGACAGATAAATATTGGAAGCGACTCAGATGAACTGACATAGAAAAAGAGATCGGAGTGGCGGTGATGGTACTGGAGAGATATTCGAAGGGAAAGTAAAAAGAAAGCGTTTGACAGGAACTGAAGCGATAAAATTCTCAGATGGGGGGGAATGTTGACGACGTAGGAATGGGTGATTAGGAATAAAATGAAAAGCTGCATTCGAAATAATAGAGGAAAATTGCAACAAAAATATCAACGAAGGGCCAGTTTGTTTTAGAGAGGTAGAAAGGAGATCTGAGAGAGGGAGGGTTCTGGAGAGAAAAAGAGAAGAGGAAGATGAGGAAGTAATGAGTGTTTGGCGAGAGGGATAATTTGAGAGTGACGAATAGTCAATAGTTTTAGAGAATAAGGAGAGAAACTTAATTCGATTGTATATGGCATACATGAGTTGGGAGTGAGAGTGAGAGTGAGAGGACAGAAAGAAAGAGATTTGATGAAGAAGTGCTAATAAAATCAGTAAGAAAAAAAAGAAGAAAAATACAAATGAAGAAGGATAGAAAAGAAAGATGAAAGTATGATAGAAAGGGTCAGTAAACATATCTACAAAAAGAAAGAAAATAAGAGGAAAGAAAATTAATGAAAGAAAAACACTGAAAGGAAAAAGAAAGACAGTAAAATGAAGAATGAAATATCAACACAATGAAGTCTAATAGAAAAATCTACGAAAGAAGAAAAATAATAAATGAAATTTAGAAGATGCAATAAAGAAAATACCAAGAAAGAAGAAAGATTGTGAAATGAAAGAGAATGAAATGAAAGAAAAATCAGAGTGGAAGAAAGAACGATTCAATGTGCAATAGAGCAAGCAAGAAAGAAAAATGAAAAGAAGAAAAATATAAAATATTAAAAATAATATATATATATATATATTGCCAAGACAAGAAAGAAGAATCAAATGTGAAAAGAATGAGATTGGGAAATTAGAAATGAAGAAAAACGGACGACAGAAAAAAGATAGAAAAAAGAAAAATATATTAAAAATGATTCAGAGTGCAATGCAGAAATAAGTAAAAAAAAAAATGGAATAGTGAAAGAAAGAATGAAATTGCGAAATATGAATGAAATGTGGAAAAAGAAGAAAAGAAAAAAGAATAAACGAGAAAAGAAAAATAAAGAAAAAATAAGAAAAGAAAAAGAAAAAATAAGAAAAGAAAAATAAAGAAAAAATAAGGAAAGGAAAATAAAGAAAATATTAGCAAATTACGAAATTAAAAAAAAATGAAATATAAAAGAAAAAAGATGGTGAAATAAGATGGAAAAGAAAAAGAAAGAAAAGGAAAGAAAGAAATGCGCAGAATTCAATACAGAAAGCAATAAAGTAAATAATGGTAAAATGAAAAATTAAATTGCGAAGTAAGAAAGAAAGAAAAAAAGAAAGAAAGTAAGAAAGAAGGAGCGAAGAAGAAGGGTAAAAGAAGGGAAAATAGAATAACCAAAAAAATCATATATAGGAAGATGTAAAGTGCAATAGAGGAAGAATTAAATACGGAATGTTGAAATGATGAACGAAACTGCGAAGTAAGAATGAAAAGAGAAAAGGAAAGAAAAGAAAAATGAAATACAAATAAAAATAGTAACAGAAAAATATTAACTACAATTACGAAATCTAGAAAAAAAAAGGGAAGAAATATAAAAATGATGAGATTGGAAAATAAAAAGGAAAGTAAAGTAAAAGAAAGAAAGGAAGAGAGAACGGAAAAAAAGAAATAAAAGAATGAAAAAAAATATGTGAAAGATGCAGAGTACAATGTAGAGAGTAATACAGAAAGGAATTATAAAATGAAGAATATAACCGTGGAACTAGAAAGAAAAAAGAAAGAAAGAAAAAAGAAAGAAAGAAAGAAAGAAAAAAGAAAGAAAGAAAAAACGAAAAAATATTTAAAGAAAGTTGGAGAAAATAAAGTAATAATGGAAGAAATGATAAAATAAAGAAAGAAACTACAAAACAAGAAAGAAAAACGAAAGAAAGAAAAAGAATGAAAACTATTCAAAGAAAGTTGGAGAGAATAAAGAAAGAAAGGAAGGAATGGCAAAAATAACGAATGAAACTGCGAAATAAGTAAGAAAAAAAGAAAGAAAAAATGAAAAATAAAACATATTCAAAGAAAATTGGAGAGAATAAAATAATAAAGGAAGGAATGATAAAATGAAGAAGGATATTAGGAAATAAGATAGAAAGAGAGAAAAAAGAAGAAAAGAATAAAATATAGAAAATATGCAAGGAACAATAAACAAATCAAGAAAGAATGAAGGCTAAAATGAAAAATTAGATTGCGTAATAATAAGAAAAAAAATTAGAAAATAAAAAAAACAGGTAGAAAGTAGAAAGAAAAACGTGTAAAGAAAAGAGAAAATGAAAAAAAAATCTTATGAAAAGAAGAATAACAAATAACGCGAGAATGAGAGAACGAGACTAAAAGAACGAGAAAAGGTTGATAGATAAAGAGAGAAGAGAGAGGTCTGGCGTTTTAGTTTTTGGTGTGCGGCCGCAGCGTCAGAGTGACATCAAGATGATAAGTTGTTTAATCTACAAGGATAGAAATTAGCGTAATGTCAGATAATACGGCCTGTTTTTCATGTGTGGAAATCCAGAGGACATGGCGTTTACATCCAATCATACCACCCAAGAGCAGTACCACGCATTGATAAAAGGAGCTGAGTGGTGGGCACGGCTCGCAAACACTGAAAATACTAAAGAGATAGATAGAAAGATGAAGGGAAGAAAAGAGGAAAGGTTAAGAAGATAGATAGATAGATAGATAGATAGATAGATAGATAGAGAGAGAGAGAGAGATGTGGAAGGGAAAGAGAGCGGGAAGAGTGAGATCGAGTGAACCAGAATTGAGGCTTTTTCGACTGTGCCATTTTTCTCTTCGCCTCGCCCCGCCTCGCCTGAAAACTAATCACTTCGACGCGCGCTTCTTTTCCAACAATCTTTATCCGAGAAAACGTTGGGCAAATCACGAAAAATGCTTTTCCCACAACCGAAATGACGCTCATCCACACAGGTAATTGGGAGTAATTGGGCATAATAAGAGTGAAAAAGGCCCGCGATAGGAACGCCAAAGTAGGTCCTGCAGTTTTCCGGAAGAAACGGCGTGCGTGATTATTTCATTTCCGGTGAGCCCGGGCGCATCGAATGGCGGCACGCGTCGTCTTCGCTGGCTTTCGGCTTTCTCTCCCTGCCTCCATCTCCCCACATCTATAACCTTCCTTTTCCCCTTCTTTATTTCCTGTTCTCTCCTTCTCTCTCAGATTTAAAAATTTCTCTTTTTTTCTGTCTTTTTATAAAGCTGTTTCTGTATCTCCAGGATTTTTCTCTCATTTCCAACCCACCCAGTAAAACCAACAAACTATCCAACCCATCAATTTTCCGTCAATCATTTTCAAATGCTACCTTCCTCTCTCTCTCTCTCTTTCTCTCTCTCTCTTTCTTTCTTTCTTTCTTTCTTTTTAGTCGGCTTTATTTTATTTTTTCGCGGATACTCGCATGTTTTACGACTTTCAGAAATACCTCTTCCCGCCCTTTTAGTATGTCTTTGCTTTTGCGTTCAGCCATTTTTAGAGTTTCTTATCTTTGGTCTTGAGTTGCCGAACTATTGCTTTCTTATTTCATGCAACGATTCGAACAATTTTTTGTCAAATCTTGTCGACCATCTTCCTCTGAATCTATCTATCTATCTATCTATCTATCTATCTATCTATCTATCTATCTATCTATCTATCTATCTCTTTTCACGTTTGTCATTTCTTCACATTCTTTTAGCAGTTTTCTTTACATTGTCTTTCTTCGGTCGATTTATTTTATTTGTTTCGGAACACTTTTTAAGTTTTTTTTACGCCATTTTGTTTTTTACTTTCTACGTTTTATTTCTTTAAGTCGTTTATTTCTTTCTTCCTAATATTTTAATTCGTCCGCATGCCCATTATTTCTTATCTACATATTTATATACTTTCTCGACTCCATTATTTGGATTCTAAATCTATATTTATTTATTTCTTCATTTAATCCGATGGCGCATCTATCTTTTTGGAAGTATACCTTGAAAATATGCAATCGCTTTTTATTTCACTTGACTTTTCTCCACATTTAAAATGTTTTCTTACGTCCTTATTTCCTTTAAAATAATAACTGTTTTCGACCTTTGTATTAAATTCACACATTACCGTAATATTAAACAACAACATATAGGATATGACCAGGCCAATTAGAGAGTAAAGTGCGTTAGAAAATATAAATTACACCAGTCTTTGTATTAGGAAGAAACTGCCTACTTTGAAAATCAAGCCTTCTTTTATGTTCCATGTCCATTCAGGAAGTCTTTGACTATTGGTCTCTTGTCTTCTTTTTTCTTTTTATCTCAACTATTGACTTTATACAACACATCTTTGTATTTGTTCATTCAAACACGTTCAGTTAGTTACACATTGTTTCCTTCTGTCGGTCTTGTTTTCAATATGTGAGTGTTAAACTCGGCAAACTCTCTAATTTAGCTATGTGCCCTAAAAAATATAAACTATCTTTTTCTTGTTTTAATTTTTTTATGTTCCATGTCTTTTCAGGACGTAGGCGATCATGGCTCTCCACTTCTCCCTCTATCCCTTGCAGCTCTCAACAAGTTTCTTCCTTCCCCAGACAACGTTCTGTCATCCACTTGCTTAAGTCCGCCAGGTATTTCACGCATTGTTTTCCCTTGCCTCGCTTTCCCTCTATTCGACCCGTGAGTATCAGATTCTCCAGGCCCTCCTTCTGTATTATGTGTCCCAGAAACTTCTGCTGCCTCTTTCTGATATTAAGTATAAGCCTCCTTGTTTGCAACCTTTCTAAGATCTCATCGTTGCTAACATGCTCAGTCCATGATATCTTTAGCATCCTTCTGTAGAACCACATCTCCGTCGCCTCGAGTCTCTTCTTCGTCTTTGAGGAAATCGTCCAACATTCGCTACCGTAAAGAAAGACAGATATCACGTAAAAACTCAGTATTCTTTTCTTTGTTACCAAAGATATCCTTCTGTCTCGCAATACTCTGCTCAACTTTTGGAATGTGTCCTTGGCCATCCCAATACGCCTATGGATCTCAGTGTCGCACTTACCGTTCTCTGTCAAGACGCTTCCCACATATTTAAACTTCCGCGCCTGCTTGACTCTAGTCGAACTTCAGATCGCATTTCAGGCTCATCTTTTTACTGATGACCACGCTTAGTCCATTCTTTTCACTCTCCGTCGCTACCTTCTGTAGGAGATTTTGTAATTAAGTGTTTTACTTTTTTAGTCTCCATTTTCTACTGAACTTCCTCCTTGATCTCGTTGATAACGTGTTCAGTTTGCTGTCAGTATAGTCAGCATCCGTGTATAGAGACACAACCGTAACGCTTCGAGTCACTTCTTCCTCTGCGAGGAGATTTTCCAGCATTCAGTAGCTAAGTCTGCTGCTAGGAACGTTGGTCCGCTGTGTTGCATTAAACCATTTTTCTCACTAGAATCTATCATATATTCATAAGTCTACCATTCGAGCATATTTCGAATATTGGTGCCACACATAGTCTGCTGTTCCTGCTATATATTTAGAGATTCTTGATAAAATCCAAAGATGAATCTGCAATGTTATTTGTTTTCTCTATATATCTGAGATGAGGTATTATGTACACTATTTACATTATTCGGACTATTGTCCTCATCTTTGTTGCCATATTTTTCACAACGTTTCGAAGAAGGCCGGCGCGTACACCGGCCGAAACGTTGTGATATATATGGCAACAAAGATGAAGACAATAGTCCGAATAATGCAAATAAATAGTGTTATTTGTTCTGACCAGGTATCCCAGTTTCAGTCACTCCCCTCCACCGCCTCAATGTAGCTTCTTTGTGTCTTTTCTATAAATACTTTCATGGTAATTTTTCGGATGAACCTTGCTCTATAGTACCTAGACTTTACGTTTTTAAGTGCTGTACTAGATTGGCAGAAGGTCAATTTATAGTTGAATTGGTCAGATGTAACTGTAAGTCATATGCTAGCAGTTTCGTTTCTCGCACTTCTCGCTTGTGGAAATTTTTTCCGGCTTCTTGCTTTCCAGCCAACATTGATCTTCAAAAATTTAAATTCAATGTTAATCGTTATCTACTATCTTCTTGATTCTTCCTCTTTTATTGTTCTCGTTCCTTGATAATGTTTCTCTTTTTCCGATACTTTTACACTCAGTAACCGGTTGTGTCTTAGTGGCTTTATTGCTTTGCTTGGGGTGAATTGATTTAAAAAGACAGGCGGACAGATGTGGCATAGAGGCTCAGCACTCTTTTAATGGCTTATAACGAGTTTTTCCTATAACTCAATATTATTTTTAGTTTCTGGAAGGCATCCTTCGTTATTACAATTCACTTTAGGATTTTTATGTCTCACTTTCCATCGTCTGTTACTATATTACTCAGTAAGATTTCGATATCGACTTCATTATGACGTCGAGGCTCACATCTCTCTCAAGCTGACGACTATACATTTCGTTTTCTTATTGTTAATAGTCTTTTTTTTTTCGCCTCTATCTTCTGCAACCTTATTTAGGAATACTTGTAGATCTCTTTACGAATCTTGCGATCAAAAATGTGTTGTTTTCTGGTTTGGAGCATAGACTCATGCCACCAGGAGGAAAAAATAACAATCTAACCACCAAATACCCCCGGGGAGTTTAGAAATCTGCATCGTTGACTATTAATTTCAAGGGTTGGTATGACGGATAGCGGCACAGAATGAAAAATCGGTGAGCTATGTTCTAATTCCAGTCGGGTTTGTTACATTTCCATACGCGCAAATACACTTGGGAAATGTATGATTCCATCTCTCCTCTTCCAGCTATTGTTTAAATGGTAGAAATTTCATCTGGGAAAAATTATTGTAATTTTCAAAAACTGTTAATGCAGTATTCACTCGTAAAAAAATAAAAATTATTCTTGCAATTCGCAGTAAGTTTTATCTTTCAATAACCAACAAATTATTGATAAGCCGTAAAAACAACTCAAACAAACAAAAAGATTTTCGAGGTGTTCTTCATTTTGTGAGAGTTGATATTCAGTTGCGGTGATTACTTTCCAGACACGTTATTCTGACAATGCAATTCTAGTTATCCACGTATAAAAAACAAAATTATATATATTCGGAGGACGAATATTTTCTGTGAAAATTTCTCGAACATTCAGGTCGGTAAATGTTGTTAATACTGTTTATTATAAACAGAGAATTTACTTAAATATTTGTATCTATAAAAAAGAATGTATAAACATAAAAATGTCTTAAAATAATTGTCGGACTTTGTCCATTTCATAATGTATGGCGTCATTTGTTTACATTTGATACGCCATGAGCAAATATGAATGTACGTAAGAGATTCATTGGAGATTGAAGTTCAAATACGACCTTGCTAACCGAACGCGCCTCTGTGGCCAAATCGGTAAAGGCACGTCAAGCAAAATGACGGCTCCGTATAGGATACAGGTTCGAATCCTGTCGGAGGACGAATATTTTCTATGAAAATTTCTCGGGCATTCAGGCCGGTAAATGTTGTTTAATTCTGATTATTATAAACAGAGCATTTACTTAAATATTTGTATCTATAAAAAGAACGTATAAAAATGTCTTAAAATATATATATGC